AGCCAGAGTTAAACCACGACAGGTATTCACTCTGGCCTGACTTTCAGTTGTCTGGCTGGAGATCACCAGCTGTCTTCCAATCTTTTGGTTCCTGCTGCACACATACAATACCCAATACTACCAAATACTTTGTTTTATTATTTATCCTGTAGTAGTGAACTCAGATGCATCATGTCAGTTTGGGTTTTTTCTTTTTACTGATGTTAAATAAGTTACTTAGGAAAAGCTTTCTTCACTTTTTTTGTAACAAACAGAGTTTGTTTGACTTGCTGTAAAGCATGGTTTATTCAATATGGCAATATGCATTGCAAGCTGGTTTTGTCCCCTCACTCATTAAAATCACAAAGCATAAACCAGCCTCAGTTTACCCTGTTACCTTAAAGCATGCTATGGTCATTATAGTTCTGAATAATAGCAACAAGCTTAGCATTCCTAAACTCCTAGATAAATTAATGTAGCTTAGCTTTCAAATCACTCAAGGCATTTCCTTCCAGTGGATTCAGTAAATATTAGCTACCTAAAGTCACATTTTGTTCCAACACATGCAACCTACACTGACTCCCATCAGCCACCAAATTGCCTCTGCATTAAATGTTTCCAAAGTAATGTGATTTTAAAGTGGTTTAATGTCATTGACTTTATGTTGTATTTATGTGAGTCATAACAACAAACTTCTAACAAGGAAGAAAAATATATTTTAAGCTTATTAAAATTTGAAGGGCAATTTGTTGTAAAACACTGACCAGGGGTGGTTTTTTTTTTTTCCCCCCCAACATGCAGCTGAACTTCTTACTCAAAACTTTCCAGTAAACACACAGAAAAGAACATATAAAATGCCACAGAAGTACTTAACTTCTCATAATTCTGCCCTGAAGGCAGCATCTATCAAACAATTAAAGTAAAATTGTTATAATACTTAGATGGAAGGCAGCAATTTGAATTTGCTTTCAAGTTTCAAACAAATTCAGTTTTGATTTGTAATATTGCAGTCTAAAAATTTTAGAGATCTAATACCAAAGAAAAAATTACTTTTTTTACAGCTGGATACACCCACAATAATGATACTAATTAGGAAGGCTCCCAAATTCTTTGTGACATATGGTACAAAGCTTCTACTGGACAACAGGCAGAAACGAGGGAGCATACCCTCTTCTACAGAAACCTTTCACCATGTATATTTGTCTCTCTTCTTATTAAAGGACTTGAATTTGAGGGTTAAAAGAAATACTTACAGCTTTGTAGGCAGATAACTTGGTGAATCATCTTTACTCCGAATGAGTTCATTGCACTTGTCAATTGTTTGGTAAACAGAAAAAGTGTCTCCAGTGCTATAAAGTACAGCTAAATTCTTGGCAACAAGCCGTCTAGTAGGAGGTCCTGGCGAACTGTTTAATAAAGAAGTCAATTGTTCTACCAGTTTCTTCTGGTTTTCTCTTATATCAGCCTGGAAAAAAATTCAGTAACCAGTTAAATTTCAGTTAAATTTAAAAGTTAAAAGATAATTAATGCTAACTCTCTTTAACTTTTCATTATTATCATTCTGATACTATGACATTCTTCAATAAAAAATAACATTTTATTGAACTTTATTGTACTTAAAGATATCTCAAATATTTTATTATTTTATTCTTATTTGTTTAAAAAAAAAAAATTCAGAGCATAATTCTTTCCAGTAGCATTTAAGGACTATTTTCTCTAAGGCAGTCAAATAATTATATCCTACTAACACAAAGCTGCCACTTCTTGCTTAATTTATGCCTGTTTTAAAATAAAACTATTCATAGAAATGTAGTAATTTAAGTAGTAAAGAACAACTCTGGCATGGTTTCAAGAAGTTGAGCATTAGAAAGGAAATAACTTCCCTTAAAATAAGAATCTATTTTACTTTTATCTGAGGTTTTTAAAATGCTCTTTAAAAAAAAATAAATTAAGAGCCTGGCACTGTATTTATTTACATACTTTAACACAAATAATGTAACCCTTAAATAGCATTATCTAGGTTGGCTTACTGTTAAATATCCACATATGTGGCTTAATATACACTGAACAGTGAAACAAGCAATTGGATAGTTGTCTGGAAACAGATCTTTTACCATTTGATTAGAAAAACAAAAAACAAAACATTCTTGCTTGCATGAGAATTACCAAATCATTGTGTCATGCTAGGTGGAAGCATGACTGCCATTCTTCATCATGGGGTTGAAAAATCTTGCAGTAATAATCTAAGTTAAATAAATAAATTTACAAAAATCACTTAATGCTTATTTCTCAAATTTCTTTAATTGGACAAGTGGCTGTCACTTAAGGCTGTGACTGAAAACTTGTAACATTTAGAAAGTTCCTGCTAACACTGAACATACTTTCATTGCATGTACATAAAATACATGAGCCAAATGAAACTGAATACTGTTCTTTGATTTTAAACAAAATAGCAAACAAGACAGAGAGAAATAGCTCTGTAACATGATTTTTTTCTCAGGTCTCATTATACTTACTCTGCTAGTCACTGGTAAAAGTTTTTCCAAAAACTGTAACCACTCAAAAATGAACTCTGCTTTTTGAAATTCACCAAGCTGGCTATATGCTGCTTCATTAAGCAGTAAACTGTGAGCTAACTCCATGCCTTGAAATTTTCCAAGTCTCTCCTCAAAACACGTGGAAGAAAAAACAAGAAACAAACAAAACCAAACTAAAACAACAAACTAACAGAACTGTGTTAACCAGGTTTTCTTCCCCATTAATATGTGGTGACTGAATCAGAAGTTTAAGCACCTAAACAGAAAAAAAGAAAAAAAAAATTACTAGAGAGTCAGCAATATTTATGCTTGGCTTATTAAAAATAAAATGTCAAAGGAAATTTTTTTTCCTAATTTTAAGTTATGATGATTACAGTAGTTTTATTTAGGTGGCTTTAGTAATATTTAATGGTTTTGAAATGAGATAATGGTATTGACGTAGTATACAAATTAAATATCAGAAAAATCAGTGGGGTCCTCACTGAACTATTTTTTTCTCCATCTTGTTTTAAATAAAGTGAGGTTTACTAGTATTTGATCATGTATATACCTGAAAGCAATGATCAGCTGGCCCCAAACTTAATGACTTTGCGATCCAGAATTAGGTGCAGCAACAGCAGTAACCTACACCCAGCAAACTTACTGGTAATCATATCCACAAATAGAAATGCTAACATTTTATTCAAACACTTCATGTTTTCTCAGTGCCAAGCAAGGCATAAAGAAAAAACAGAACTTCATTGCCGAACAAACCTCCAATACATTCTTTAAAAAAAAAAAAAAAACAACAAACTAAAAAAAGAATGTTTAAAAGACCCAAAGTTCAAAACAAATTATATTTTACTTATGTCTCTCACACTATTTTAGGTATTTCCACATCATTGATAGGCATAACTTGAAGCAAACCAAGATGAAAATACTTCTAATGGTAACTATTTTTTCCACTATTTAAATTCCATATAGCCACAAAAGACAAAATATAATATTCTGTAGACTTTGAAACAAAAATAGTCAAGGAGATTCTGGTAAAATGTCAACCATATTTTAAACTCCCAAACAAATTATCCTTTCCAGAGGTCACTGAGACTGTTGAACACTCTTTTTTTTTTCCCCCTACACAGTAACAATGTTATAGTGTAAAATGATCTATCAAACTGTAAATGGGCAATACAAAGCAATGGTAAATAATTCAATACTCGGACTGTCATCAGATGCACAGCAGGTTACCTTTACCACACTCTACACATTTTTTAGGTAAAATTTGCTCACAAAGTAGATTTGTCATATCTAGTTTACTATAATAAACTGTCACTTCATATCTACCTGAAATATCAGGCAGCTTGACAAGGCACCACATGATAAAATAACAAGCCAAGATAAATATACATGCCTAAATATACCTACACAGAATTAATCTGCCTAGGTACACAGATGTTCACAATTTACCAGTTATCTCACTCCTAGAACACTTACAGAACGTAACCCTTATCTTTTTAGAAGCATACAAAAAAAAAGTAGGATTACATATTTCATTGAGTATTTGAGTAGAGTTTCATCACTACTCAGCATGAAAATTACATGTACAGATCACAAACACTCCTTTTTAATCTCACCCAAGGCCTGTCCCAATGTCTAATATATCTAAATCACTAACTGCCACAGTAACTTATTCAACTTACAGACGGTTGAGGATTACAAACCATAGCCATTTCCCCCAAATGAAGCCATCACAGATAGTTGTAACACACTGGCACTAAACTTACCTAGCAGATAATTTCTCCTCATACTATAAACTCTCTCTGCTGCTCTGGGTTTTTGGATAAAGGATGTCAAGAGCTCAATTTTCTAGAAAAAGAACACACAAATCAGCTTCTAAAAAGCACATCAACTACAAACGTCTCTTCTAAAGATAACCCAAAAAACACAACCAAACAAACAAACAAAAAACAACCAAACAAAACATCCTCAAAACCCCAAAACTGCATACTGACATTTTTTATTGGCTAACAACTCACCAAAAGGCACTGAACTGGACCTCCATAAATATTATTAGCTGTTCAGATGTTGCGTTCGAATTGCGAAGATGCATCATATTTACCATACAATTTGATTCATTTAACTACTGCAACCACCTTAATTATTTGTGTTTTGTTAACTCAGATTAATTCTAAAGCAAGCAAACAAGTAAGCACAGGCAGCATAATACCATAATTATTCTCCAGGAAGATGATTTCAGTGCCTTCATCAGATCCACATTACCTTAATATATCTAAAACAAAAGCATAGGCAGAAAATATTTATTATATTGATCTGGAATGCTATCATGAATGACCATGTCTTTATCATGAAGTCATAAAATACAACAGCATTCATGTCTGAATCAACAGGTAGCAAAGCTGGCAAATGCGACTCAACTGTTCCAAAATATCCATGTGGATACAAAAAGACATGAGGATTATAAATCCATTCTCCTAGCTCCCAGATATAATTTTAATAATAGCCTCAATGGGTGAAAACATTTCCTTTTAAACCTCATTCAATTTGAGGCAGTTGAGTCTGGCAGGCCATGAAATACAGGTTCAGCGCTATTTTAAAAACATTCAGATTTCAATCAGTTTTTAAAAGAATGAAGATGAGAACAAATTAAAAGTACACATGGATTTCAAAGTAATTAAACTTTGTTCAGAAAAACCAGGAGAACCAGAGTTCAGCCAGGTAAAGAGAAGGTTCAGGGGGACCTAACAGCAGCCTTCACAGGGAAGATCACTAAGAAGATGAAGAGAGGTTCTTTACTGAAGTGTATGGGAGGGAATAACACCAGAAGTATAATAAATTGAAATGGAAAAGGTTCCGATCACATACGTATGTCAAACATTTTCACTGTAAGGATTATCAGCCACTGGAAGAGATGCTGTGAGGCTGCAGAACGCTCTCAGGGGTTTCTAAGACTAGACTGGACAAAACCCTAAGCAACCTGGTCTAACCTCACTGTTAACCCTTCTTTGAGCAAAAGTTTGAACAAAAAGACTTTTTTGGCTTTTATTTTTAGGATTTGTGTCGTTTAAATTTAAAAATAAAAATGTTATGGTGTAGTTTCTCATCTTGTTAATGAACACTTATTAACATGGCTAGAAATGCTAATACTTCTCAGAGAAAAGACTATCAGTTCTGAATTACAGAGGCTGATTGACTGTTATGTAAGGTTTAGTTTTGTAGAATCCAAGAACTAACCACCAAAAAAAAAAAAAAATCACAGACTTCATGTTTGAAGTGCTAACCAACAAGCACATGTTGGTTCCATAAAGCTATGTACAAACAGTATATTCTCCATACTATCAAAAAAAACTTACTCAAATACCTACCATGATTCCCTTTAACAAGTTGTAAACCTGCACACCAGAGATGAAGCTTCAAAAATAATAATAAAAAAAGGGCACAGCCATACAACCTTGGAGGGTGTAGGGA